AATTATGTTATGAATATTCTATGTTCATTTTCCTATATTTTAATCGTGTAAAGCACTTTGCATTGTCTTTGTACTGAACTGTGTATACAAATAAATTTGCCTTGACTTGCCTCTTTATACGCCAAAATTTTAACTAAATCAGCAAGGTGTGACAGGGGCCTAAGCTAGTTTTATGAATCAGAAAAGAAATGAAACCTTGTCATAATTCCTAATTCCTCCAAACAGAAGGAATCCACCCAGAACCAGAACTTAGAGCCACACAGAACCTAGTAAAGGTAATCATCCAAAACTTTTACCATTTTGTTAAACTAACAGAGTCGGTCCGTGGAGGCGTGGATCTCTGGCTCTTTTCGATCATTTCCACCTTAATTCGGTAAAACCATAAAACCTTTTTTCATCCTGTTGATATTCTGTTCTACTTGGTGTTTATCTGTGATGTTAAAAGAACTAAAAAGATTCACAGGGAGGGAATGTTTGTGAGTGAATGATGCTGTGGATCCATGACATGGAGGAACAGGAGCCAAACAACACATGAAGGCAAATAAAGGAAGCGGGGAGACCCACCTGCAGGTTCTCAGCATCCAGGTTGCGTTTCTTAATCTCCAGTTTAGTCAGCTGCATGAGTTCGGCCTCAATGAGCTTGATCTGAGGACAGTGGAGAGGCCACATGCTGCTTTAAATCAGGCTGAATGAGCTGATGAAATGAGCGTCTATAAAGCAGCGCCGGGTTCTGATGGCACCAGAGCTGGACCCAGAAGAGCCATGTGGGACAGATCTATGAACAGGAGAACTGTCTGAACTGGATCTTAGCGTTCTGGGCCAGCTCTGGTTTACCTCCCCGGGCTACATGGAAGCAGCAAAGATCTGAGCTGTGAGTTAAAGATGAATTCAGTGATGAGGAAGAAATAACCCAAATAAAGGCTTAAAATAATCTGGATCAACCGAGCGGCTGAGGTGTCCGTCGGCGCCTCAAACACACCTGGTTGCGGATGTAACCGTGTACCGCGTCTTTCTGCAGCTGCAGAGCCTGAAACGCAGCTTTCTGCATCTCCTCCTGTAGAGAACAGAGGTCGCCGTTATCCGCTGCCTTATCACGGAGAGAATTTTATTTTGACCGTTTGAAAGGAACACGTACCTCCTGTAAGATCTGAGCAATGGCTTTAGACTTGTCCAGAACCTGAAGCGACAGCATCTGGTCAAACTTCTTGTCCATAACCTCCATGCTGCTCAAAAGAAAACAGATTTGGTTCTGAAAAGCTTCGTCTAAATCAGTGCGGAGACGTAAAGTGCATCAGTGATTGAGACGTCAGACCTCCTGCAGGCCTCGGAGACCAGGCTTTGTCTGCGACTGTCGCTAGCTTCCTGGAGGAGGCTCATGGCGCAGCCGTCTGACAGCATCTTCTGCATGGCGGCTGGAAACGAGAAGGAAAACTGGTCAGCAAGAAACAGAAGATGCAGTGATGAAAACATCATGAAACCGGGCTGTGATGCTTTAAAGTGAACTATTTATGAACGGTTCTACCAGAAAACAGGAAGTCCTGACATACGAACAATGATCCAAAGGTGCAGTTTAACAGAGGGTTAGTTTATCCAACCGAGACATCATGATTATCACATTTCTATTTTTTTCCGCGATCACAGCTACAGTTTGAAGATTCTTTGCCAAATTTTTCCCACCAAATGTCCAGCTCAGGATGGTTCCGACGCTGTGAAATATTCAGAACCTTGAGTCTAAAATGTTTCTTCACTGAATCGTAGATGTTTTCTGTCTCCTTCCCACCGATGGAAGAAGTACGTGTTTCTGTCCAATCAGAGCCCAGAGTGCAGAGAGACACGCCCACTCTGTCATTACTCCCGGTCCACAGTTCTAAGGAAACTGGATCGGAAAGTTCTGCTGTTTTCAACCAGTTTCTTGGGCCTGTTTTGTTTCTTTCTCCTTCTGCTCTCAGGAAATGATGGGAGTTGTTTCAGGATCAAAACTTCAAAAGGAATAGGAAGAGGTTCAATAAATAAAATAACAGACTTCAAAATAAGAGCATGCCTCTGCTGTGGTTTCAATCAGGAGTTACTAGTGTTACCAAAAAAGGATTGTAATACAAATCAAATTAATTATAATTCTTAGTGGCATAGAGGTTGGATTGAACATAAAGCCTCTATCCAAACAAATAATATATTTACAGCCTACATTCATATTTATATGGTGCCATAAACCATAATATTAGAACCAATGTCTAAACTGATATGAAACGTGACCATTGGGTTAGGATGATTAAGGCTGTTCGTGGAACTCAACATTTTAAAACCTTCCCCAGCATAAGACCCTATCAGACCGAAATCCCACATCCTCCATCACTGCCCCGCCCCTTTCCGCTCCGCCCCACTGTGCTTTAGACCGCCAGCCAAAGCCTACAGCCTCCACAGTTCGTCCCGTCTTGCTCCTCTCCAACATCCCTGGAGCTGGAGGAGAGCATGCGCTACTTTATTATTATTAAATTCATAAGATGAAAAACATGCGGAAACGAAAGCTCAATTTAATATGACATATTAAAACAAATCCAGCATATGTTCAATTTCTGCCCAACCATTTTCTTTTTGTAGTGGATTTTTGTAACGGGGATAACTGGGATCATACATGGTTTATATCAGGGGTCTTAAACCAGTTCCAGAAAGGCCCGAGTGGCTGCAGGTTTTCTTTCCAACCAAGCAATCGCACACCAGACTCCATTCATCTCATCAAGTCATCATGTTTAGATTGGACTCAGTTGATGAGATGACTGGAGTCTGGTGCGCGATTGCTTGGTTGGAAAGAAAACCTGCAGCCACACGGCCCTTTCTGGAACCAGTTTGAGAATAGGGGTGTAAATAATAATCGTTTTGTCTCGATGCGTCGATCCAACAGCCGACGATCCGATGCATCGATACGTCCGCAAGAGTATCGACTCATGTTTTTTTTCTTTCTCCGGTCTATTTTTTATTCATTTGCTCCTGGACGTATTTCTCCCTCCTGTGCTGCGGTGGCGCTAAACCTATTTTGCCCTCCTAGTTATACTCTTACAGCAGTTTGTCGCAGTGAGCTTGACACAGACATTTTTGATTTATACTCAATATTGAAGCGTGGTCTGTGCTACACGCTGTGGGTCTAGATACGGCCGAGGCGGAGAGGAAGTGGGGGCGAGTTTAGTCCGACGACGGAGGGACATGAAGGCCAAAAAGAGCGGAGATCCAGGTGGAAAAAGGGTCCCAGCGTTCTTGTAAACATTTGTTATTATGTTGTTTTCACATGAAAATGGCGGAAGAAAAATCAACATTATCCTAATGAATTGAAAAATTAAAAAAACAGATAAAATCAGCATGACATATCGGAAAGTAATCGTTATCGGCCTTTAAAACTTTCCAGGTGTCTAAGTCCTCAATCAAGCAACTACTGGAAGGCAGTCTTTAATACATTATCTTGCACATTTAACACCAAATTGGAACCAAACCCAGTTGCAGCCCTATTTGGGGTTCTTGAGGGCGGAGCTGTTTCAAGTGCTACTAGAAAATATTCTAAAGCCTTTGCTTTACTTTTGGCACGTCGAGCAATCTTACTCAGATGAAAAGATGCCTCCCCACCATCTCATTCACAGTGGCTCCAAGATATCATGTCTTGTCTAAAACTCGAAATTTCTTGAAAGCATTTCCAGCTCTTTAATTGCTCAGACAAGCTAAACTGCACTGATTCTATCTTAGGCGGGTCCTGAATGTTGTGGAGTGATGATATAGTTTTGGCAGTGACGGGTTGGGTGATGGGGAAGGGGTTATTTTGTTTGTTTTATTGTATTATATCTTTGTGCTTCACTACTTGACTTGTTTTATTGTAGTTGTCATGCTACTTTCTCTATTTGTGAAGTCTATATTTCTTTTACTTTAACAAACTTTTGTATGAGCAACTTGTTCAACTGGCTTCTATAAGCCTACCTCGCAACACCTCATAACTGTGCTCTGTTTTTTGTTTATGTAAAACTTAATAAAAAATATCTTGAGTTAAAAAAAATAAAAATAAAAAAAAACTTTCCAGGTGTCTTGAAATGATTTTTTTTTCAATTTACAAATTTTTAAGGCTTTCAATGACCCATAGAAACCTTGTTTTAATGTTGTTTTGGGGAAAAACAACCTGGAAAACTGCTGAAAGCGTTTTTTTTTGGCTCTTTATTATTTTTAACCAAAGGTATTCATAGATCTTGTGGCTCCAGAACTCTGGTTCAGATTCTAACAACAAGCAGAATCCTGCAGGTTCTTTTCTGAGATGTTTTGTTTCAGATCTTTGATTGTGTATTTTTTATAACTTAATTATATTCTTTTTTTTTTGTTTGTTTGTTTCAATACTTTGGGTGAAGAACCAGAAAAGGACGGACGTCCAAACGGACTCTCTACCTGCTACATCCCTCTTCCGCAGTGAGTCGGCCTCCTCCTGAGTGATGGCGGTTAGCTGCTCCATCCGGATCCTGTAAACCAATGAAAACAGATGAAGCCAGATTTAATCCTAAAGCCAGAAACCAACAGAACTTTGATCCAAATGTTAGGATGTTTAGTGTTTCTTATCTATGATGAGTCATAAAATGAGGCAGGCACAGAAAATAAACCTTTAACAGAATAATCTTATTGTTCTTTTGTCTTTCTGAGCCTTCTCTCAATATCACCCGAATCAAACAATGGATCTGGTCAGCAATTAATAAATTGTTTTCAACTGGAAGACAACGTAAAGGGGACCCGTCCTGTTCTGCCAGGACATACTTTGTGGGATACACCATGGACTGAAGGCTTGGAGAATGGTGTGTTTTATGATGCTGTCAGTGGAGGACCTGGAAGACGTATTGATGTCTTCATGTGGGCTGATTAAAAATGCTGCGCAGCATGCTCTCAATATAAAACTCCACTGGATGTTATGGGCCCAGAACTGCCAGCTCCCCCCTGTGAGGAAACAGCTGGAAGCTGCCCGCTCCACTGAGCGGAAACAGCTGGATCAGTTTCTATGTACTGCACAGCTGGATGTGGACAAGATTCAAAGACTCACCGATCCTCCTCCAAAGCTTGAAGGAACTCTGCGCTCTTCTTCTGCCTGCAGAGAAGACTCTGATGTTAAACCACAGGAGAGGCGGCGGCGGCGGTGATCTCACAGCTCCCAGCCTCAGTGCTTCCTACCTGTTGTTGTCGAGCAACAAACTGCTGATGCGGCAGCTGATGTTGTCCTCGGCCTGCCGGACCTTCTCCAACAGCAGCTGCCTCTCGGCCTCCTGAGCCCTCTGCTGCTGGCTGAAGCCCAGCTGCGCACGCTCCTGATCCTGAACAGCAGAAACAACCTGTCAGATGGAGATCGGGTTCCTTCCCTGCGTTCGGTCAGGACAATGAAGCTGTTGGAAAACTGAACGGCTCTCGGAAGGTTTTGACTGTGTTAAGCCGGGCCTACACTTTACGATTTTATGCCCTTTTCGGGCCGATTGTCCAGTTGTTCGAGAATTATTTCAATCGGGCTGGCTTTCAGCCTGATCATGCGTCCTGTGTCGTGTACGAGGGGTGATTAGCCTCTCACGACCACCTCCAGATCAGGAATCGTAAGGTCAGGAGAAAAATCAAACATGTTTAAATTCAGTCGGCCGTCATGAGGTGTTTGTGGATAAATCCTGCTGTTGAGGCAGAGCTAGGCTAACCTGACTCCGCCAGATGGATTTGCTCCGCATATCC